TATTAAACTAAATAAACTGAAGAACATATATCCATTTATTAACATGCCCGTTATTCAATTAATGAGTACAAATTTACAACCAGAGCATATGAAATACCTACTGCACATAAACAAGTAAACATTTGTTGTAGTAGATACTCCCTTCGTTCCTAAATGTAAGTCTTTTTAGAGATTCTAATATAGACTACATACGGAGCAAAATGAGTGAATTTACACTCTAAAAAATACGTCTATATACATCCGTATGTAGTTCATATTGAAATCTCTAAAAAGACTTATATTTAGGAACAGAGGGAGTATTTAGTAAGGCTACGGATACCACATGTCCACATGTACTATATAGAAGAGAGGATATACTTGCTATACGAGTATAGTAGTACACCTGTACATTTATTGCAGGAAAAAGGAGGGGAAAATGACTAACCAGGAGAAGTTCATCACCACTAGTAGCACATGCAGGAAGGTGTTCATTACTAAGAACACGTATTTGTGAACCAGTGTCGCTGCGGATTCCCTGGATGATATGCCCACCTTTTCCAATAATGCATCCAATCTGATCAGATGGCACAAGCAACCGAACAGTAACTTGACCTAAACCCATTTCATTTTCTTCGTTCACAGGACCATCATCTGTGGCAAGCTTCTCATGAACCCTAAAGAGAGCATCTTGAGCAGCGCAAACCTTATCTTCAGTATCTTCAATAATATTAGTCTCCCTGCTTGAGCTAAATATTGTTATGACTCGGTCATCGCAGTTAGGGACACTCTCACCAATCCTAATCTTAGCTTGAGTATCGCTCCTCAGCTGCTTGGCAATTTCTCCACCCCTCCCAATTATACTCCCTATTTTCCTAGACGTGCAAAGGTAGCGATAGACAGTGTCATCTGGACCAGGAGCATATGTATCACCACCAGGATTTCTTCTCTTGCCACCTCCATTTTCAGCATAATCAGACTGCCGCTTTCCATGACTGTTCCTGTGCCCAGGACCGACCATGATCTAAAAGCAGAGACAGAATAGCCAGCGACATAGAATACCGTGAGAACTAAATACAAACTTAAATAGAAAAAATCTTCAATGCCAGTAATAACACAGCATGTCATGTGGTACATTAGGATTCTTCATAAAGAGGGTAATATTTATTTTCCATCAAGCTTTTCCCCTCCAAACCAAGGTAGCATCAGGCAGCAGCTAAGACCCTCGATACCATATGATAGTAAAAGATGATAGCTTCCAAATAAAAGCATGCATCACTCACCTGGACCTACTTATGTTGTGTGCCCATGTTAGGACCACCAAAAATGAAGCAAATATTAAAATCCACCAGGTGGAATTGAGGGCTATAGCAGATTGCAGGCCAACGCTTAATCAATGCACATGGCAAAATCAACTGCGGTTATAAATCCTTGCCAAATCAAACACGGAAACCAAATGCATGCTTCTGACTAGAGAACATCTCCAAGAAAGACATCCAACTCAACGAGAAAATAATGAATTTTGGTCGCTTTAATACATAATCATCCCACAGGAAAAGATGTATTTTTTTTCAAATAAGAGCATGCATTACCTGTACCAATATCTGCTGTCCATGTTAGGACCACTAAAAATGTGGCAACCCTTAAAATTGACCGGGTGAATTTTAGGATTATGCCGCTTAGTGAACGCACATAGCAAAATCAATTGAAGTTATAAATCCTTAACAAATCAAATATATAGAAACCAAATACATGCCTCTCACTAGACGAAATCTACTTAGACAAGACCTCTGCAGACAAAAGAGTCTGTTTGACAAGAAAATAACGGTTTCGGACTTTCGGTCTCTTCAACACATACATGAGCCTCTTTCTGGGCAGGTGAATTAACAGGAGAACAAATCTTTGGAAAAACCTAAACAGAGCCCATACGAAAATGAAACACGCAGGCATCTACCGAAAATCAAAACCAAAAGGGCCCGCTCTCTCCATCCTCTCATTACGGAGCGCCAACCTCCCAGATAAGTGCCCCAAACTTCACTTCGGGAGGTACATCTAAAGGAACTTGCGCGTCAAGACAGACGCACATGAACCCCAATTCACCTGCCTTTAGTACAAACAAACGTTTATACTATCATTTACTCAACCGCGCAGCAAACAAATCATCAAGAAAGTGGATGGATCATATAACTGACGAGGATGTTCACGGGCGATCCTCGGCTGTAGCTCACGGCGCGGGCAGCCATGTGGGAGGGGGCAGACCAGCAAAACAGTGGAAACGAAGGGAGGTAGAAGGGGTGGGGGGGGAGGAGAGCTCACCACGCCGGCCGCCGGAGAAGGGTACCAGATCTGGCGTACGGAGACGAGGAGAGAACGACAAGTCGATGAGTCTCACGGAACAGAAGGGGGCTAATTAGCGATTTGCACCCTGGGTGAAGGCTCTACCAACTTCCAACACAAAAGAAAAAGGTAAAGATTCAGATCGAGCAATCATCCTCGCAAGGACTTACTTTAATAATTTCTTTAAAAAAAATTGAGTGGATCCTCGCAAGGAGCTTTTCCTTATATGTCGCTTATTGCAACGTGAAAGGAGGGCTCGCCTCTGGTGCCCGCACGTATGGGCTGGCCCATTTAGCGCGTTTTGCTATCGATCGATGCGTTCGCTGCGTTTTCTTCGGGCATGTCAATGTTTTTCTCGGGTTTTTTATTTACTTTTCCTCTTACGTTTGTATTTTCTGATTCCTTGTTTTTCTTCAACTAGTTAGTCTGCACGTGCACGTCTTAATTGATCAATGTAGACCGCAATACAACATGTAAATAATACTCCCTCTGTCTCAAAATAAGTGTCTTGAGCTTAGTACAATTTTGTACTAGAGCTAGTATAAAGTTGAGACACTTATTTTGAGATGGAAGGAGTAAGTGTTTTCCCCTTTCATGTCATCATTCATAATTCTATGACCTCTCTCTTATCCCAACTACATCTATCTATTTTCAGATTGGCAACGGGCAGTAGCCCAATGGTTAGAATCATGGTGGCATGCCTAGTAACCATAATTCGACTCCATCGGAAGCGAATTTCACTTTACAAAAATATTTCACCAACGGGCAAGGGCTAGCCATGCAGGCCTAACCGCCCAACCATACTACCACTGGCCAGGCTTTTCTTCTACTCACCCACATCTGTTGTTATTCTTCGGCGACGGCAGCCTTACACCGTAGCTGAACCAGTGAAGCCTCGTAGTCCCCTCCACGTGGGCATCCACCTACTTCGTCTTCCCTGGCCCCGCGTCGTTCTTTTTCTAGGCCTCGCTGTCGTCAACCGCCTTGATGCTCTCATCGGAGGAGGACTTTAGTCGGTGAGGCTGGCAGCTGGACCCACCAGCTACATCTTTGAACACAAGGAAGTGCCTCCTTATTACTCGTAAAATAAAAATGATTCCTCTCCTGACAGCTGGGACTCAGCAGCTATATCTTCGCATGTAAGGAAGTGCGTCATTGTCCTCCCTGACAGTTGGGACCCATTAGTTATATCTTCGCACAGAAGGAAGGGCGTCCTTATCCTCCCTGACGGCTAGGACCCACCCGGTCGAAGCATACATAGCGTTGTATGTCTGGTCGCGAACGTGTATGTACATACTGGCCAATCGGTCTCTCTGCAACGATGTACCTTGGTCAAGCAAGCAGCGGCATGTGTAGTAGTAGAGCCCCTGACGTAGCAGTTCAGGCAATCCCTTCTAAACTGTGTACACGTACGTACAGCCACATGCCAAAAAATACGGCCACGTACATACACACGGGCGGGGTCTCGAACGCCTACTAGCGTATACGTACAACCAGGGCTCGTGTACATTGAAAGGCAACTGATGGCAGCAACGGTGTCTTGTTCATCGAAAGACAGCCGACTGGGTCGGAATGGAAAAACAGCGGTGTGTTCATCGGGAGGCAATAGAATGCGTCATGTTCATTGGGAGCCAACCGGCTTGGATGGAACAGCCGAAACAAAGCCTGACGTATGCTACCTCTTGAGCTTGCATTGGTTTTTTCCCTTGAAGAGGAAAGGGTGATGCAGCAAAGTAGCGTAAGTATTTTCCTCAGTTTGAGAACTAATGTATCAATCCAGTAGGAGATAACGCACAAGTCACCGAATACCTGCACAAACAATCAATAACTTGCACCCAACGCGATAAAGGGGTTGTCAATCCCTTCACGGTTACTTGCAAAAGTGAGATCTGATAGAGATAGATAAACGGTAAAGTAATATTTTTGGTATTTTTGGTTTATAGCAGAAAATAAAAGATTGCAAAATAGTAGATCAGAAACTAGTAAGATGTAAAAGAGATTCAATATAATGGAAAAGAGACCCGGGGGACATAGGTTTCACTAGTGGCTTCTCTCAAGATAGAAAATATTATGGTGGGTGAACAAATTACTGCCGAGCAATTGATAGAAAAGTGCATAGTTATAATAATATCTAAGGCAATGATCATGAACATAGGTATCACGTCCGTGTCAAGTAGACCAAAACGATTCTGCATCTACTACTATTACTCCACACATCGACCGCTATCCAGCATGCACCTAGAGTATTAAGTTCATAAAGAACGGAGTAACGCATTAAGTAAGATGACATGATGTAGAGGAATTAACTCAAACAATATGATGAAAACCCCATCTTTTTATCCTCGATGGCAACAATACAATACGTGCCTTGCTGCCCCTACTGTCACTGGGAAAGGACACCGCAAGATTGAACCCAAAACTAAGCACTTCTCCCATTGCAAGAAAGATCAATCTAGTAGGCCATACTAAACCGATAATTCGAGGAGACTTGCAAAGATATCAAATCATGCATATAGGAATTCAGAGAAGAACCAAATAATATTCATAGATAATCCGATCATAAATCCACAATTCATTGGATCTCGGTAAACACACCGCAAAAGAATATTACATCGAATAGATCTCCAAGAACATCGAGGAGAACACGATATTGAGAATCAAAGAGAGAGAAGAAGCCATCTAGCTATTAGCTATGGACCCATAGGTCTGTGGTAAACTACTCACACTTCATCGGAGAGGCAATGGTGTTGGTGAAGAAGCCCTCCGTGATCGAATCCCCTCCGGTAGGACGCCGAAAAAGGCCCATAGATGGGATCTCATGGGTACAGAAGGTTGCGGTGGTGGAAAAGTGGTTTCGTGGCTCTCTAGGATGTTTTTAGGGTATAAGAGTATATATATAAGCGAAGGAGCTAGGTCAGGGGAGCTACAGGGGGCCCACAAGGTAGGGGGCGTGCCCTACCCCCCTAGGCGCGCCCTACTGCCTCGTGGCCGCCTCGTCGCGTCTCCGACTTCATCTCCAAGTCTTCTGGTTTCCTTTCGGTGCAAGAAAGATCATCGTGATTCGTGAAAGTTTCATTCCGTTTGGACTCCGTTTGGTATTCCTTTTCTGCGAAACTTTAAAATAGGCAAAAAAAACAAAAACTGGAACTGGGCCCTCAGTTAATAGGTTAGTCCCAAAAATAATATAAAATAGCATATAAATGTCTATTAGACATCCAAAACAGATAATATAATAGCATGAAACAATAAAAAAATACGTTGGAGACGTATCAAGCATCCCCAAGCTTAATTCCTGCTCGTCCTCGAGTAGGTAAATGATAAAAACAGATTTTTTGATGTGAAATGCTACCTAACATATTTATCCATGTAATTTTCTTTACTATGGCATGAATGTTCAGATCTGAAAGAGTCAAAACAAAAGTTTAATATTGACATAAAAATAATAATACTTCAAGCATACTAACAAAGCAATCATGTCTTCTCAAAAAAATATGGCCAAAGAAAGCTACCTTACAAAATCATATAGTCTGGCTATGCTCCATCTTCATCACACAAAATATTTAAATCATGCACAACCCCGATGACAAGCCAAGCAATTGTTTTCATACTTTTGATGTTCTCAAACTTTTTCAATCTTCACGCAATACATGAGCGTGAGCCATGGATATAGCACTAAGGTGGAAT